CCCAAGACTCGCTTCACCGCCTCTAGAGAGAGGGACAGTGTGTCATATTCAGACTAAGGACAGGACTCAGCAGGCTTCACCAACATATGTTTCAGTTGTGTCGGTGTAGGAAACACGGAGACGTTTCCCTGCAGCTTAACATTAACAGTGCTGAGCATGTACTCCAGCTGCCAGTCTGCTAGCAGAGACACCAGATCTGGCTTGTTTGAGCTTGAATCAGAACAAAGATGTGTGGTAGACAGCGAGGTTTGGACTGCACGACAGCCTTCCTTCCAGATATTGTGCTGTAAAAAGTTCCATATGCAATTTTAGTCTGGCTGCATTCTCACTAGGTGGCTGAACCATTTCATTCTTCGTCTGTCAGTATAATCCAGACACTGTCATATTCCAACTATCTCTAAAATGCTGGCATTCGTAACCCTGTCTCTTCTTGTATTGTTAGTGATCTTGCGGAAACAGCGCATTTCACGCGAAGTTATTTTCTATTCTGTTCTTGTGCCCTATTCAGTGTCCATGTTTGGCACTAGCTACCGGCCTGCTGTATAAATCTTCTGACAGAAGACGAAGAAGGAGTAGGAGGTGGAGGAGAAGAAAATGGAGGGGGATCAGGAGGGGAACAAAGAGAAAACAGTTTTAAAAAAAAAAATGGTGCCGTTTATACACAGTAAAAAATGGTTGCAATGTATTCAGGGCTAACTGTTACGATATTATGTGCTGACCCTCTTCCACGGAGCGATTCTCGTACCACTGTCTTACAGCCACGAGAAGTATCTTTTATAAAGTTACATATACATATATATATATATATATATATATATATATATATATATATATATATATATATATATATATATATATATATATACCGCACGCTTTCACAATTAATGTCTTTTTAATTTCCCCCGGACAACTCCAGTATTTTCCTTCCTGCTCACGTAGTTATCGCCCCCTCTTGTTTCACTTTCGAGCCTGTTTATTTGCGTTCAAGTGCACAGAAACCGGTCAAGGACTCTTCGCATTGCTGTTAAATTCTGGAAATGTCACGGGGCGTGTATTGCCGTTTCGGTAATTTGATTTGCAGAAGAGGGTGTCGAGACTCGAATTTTCCAGCGTGGCGAACATGTCACAAATGCACTCTCATTTGTTTACACGTATTTAAAGGCGAGAGGTTTGTGGGGAAAATAAAAGCCTGGGAAATTGATGAATATTTAATCCGGCCTGATCCAACCTCAGCGAAGACAAAGCTGTATGGCACACAGGGAGATAGGGACTGCGCTACATCCTTCCTCGTGGCTTCCGGCCTTCTGATGTACATTTTCTGACAGAGGGATAAAAGAAGAAGAAGAAGAAGAATATAAATATATAAAAAAGATCATCATCATCATGTGCCCTACCAACTGGCGTAGGCGCTCCCGCGTCTCCACAGATCACCATCCCTGGTTGCATGAAACAGCTATTTTGATGATATCCCTCCATGCCGTCATTTCAGCCCATCCAGCATCATCGCCCTTGGTCTGCCTCTACCCCCTTTTTTCACTGATCTTTCCAGTTGTCACGATGTTCTTCAATGTCTCTCATCTCATTATGTGGCCAAAGAACAGTGTTTGTCTCTTTCTTATTGCTGTATACAGAGATCTACTTTCATTATCCTCTTTCAGACAATCATTGTTAATTACTCTGACCTTAACAAGAGATGAATTCAAGAAATCCGAGAACACAAGAGAAATTTTCAAAGAACTACTGATATTAATATCTATAAGACTAAGACAATGTTCTTCTTCTTTGCGATCACCAGCTGTAAACTCTGGCAGAAAGTTCTGGTTGTTCATCCACTTCTGCACTGCAGTCCTGTTCCAGAACCTGAGTGTTGCTTGTGCATCCATTTTACAGATTTGACTTATTTGACTGCTCTTTCCTTGCCTCTCAGGCAGATGCACCCCGACTTTAAAAGAGCTCCCAATTAGTCAACTCTTACAACAGACTTTTGGGTAGGCAGTGGGTCTTTTCTTGTTTTCCCAATAATAAGGCCCCGGAATCCACACAAGGAACTAGGACAAAAGCTTTATGTTTCTTTCTCTTCTTCTGCAAGGGGGCTGTACGATCTCGAGGCATTGTGTCCGCCTCGAGTGCTAGAGGTTCTGGGTTCAATCCCCACTAAGGGCTCTGAATTTTTCATGTGGACTTGGTACTTGGACTTCTAGTAATTCCATCTGGTCTCTCGTGAGCATTGTTGTGCAGTTGGAAATCAAAAAGAGTAGCCTAATTGTGCTATGTAAAGTATTTCAGGATCCCCACCGGTGCTACAGAGCCTGTGTACTGTGTTGAACTTCTTTAAACTCGGACTTGAGTTAGAAGAATGGAGCACTTATGAGTTACTACCTGTGTGCCATGATGTTGATCTGTTGTTCAAACATTAAACCTCTTCTTTTTCAGCATTCCGAGCCCTTGAGGTTCATTGCTGCAGACATCACTCGTCTCCATTCATCTCTTTGGTTTGCTGCAGACATCACTCGTCTCCATTCATCTCTTTGGTTGGCTTTCTCTTTCCAGTTGGTGACACCAAGTGTTTGCAGGTCTGTCTTGATGTTATCTATCCATTGTCTTCTTGGTCTGCCCCATGACCTGTGACCATTCATCTCTTTTGTGTATACAGTTTTTATTTCTCGTTCACCTTGCAATTTTTCAATATGCCCCATCCATTTCAGTCTTTTAGCTCTCATGATGCCAGTGATCAATAGTGATTTAAACAGATTATGAATTTCGTTGTTGCTTCTCACTTTCTATTTCCCGCTGTTTGCATTTTTGATGGGTCCAAAGATTCGTCGTAAGACTCTGTTTTCGAAAACCTGTAAAAAGGCTTCATCTCTTTTAGTTGTGCTACAAGTTTTGAAGCCATATGAAATGACTGGTCAGCGTTTTATATATTTTGATCTTGGTGTTGATCTTTGACTTTAGCAGATGTTGAAGGGCATAGTATATTTTTTTCCAGATTGTATTCTAGATTGTGTTTCTTCTCTTAGCATATTGGAGCAGTTGAAGTTTGTACCCAAATACTTATATGTTTCCATTTGTTTTATGTTTGGTACATCATAAAGCTAATGGAGCCAGAATCCCCAACAGGCACTGAAAGGGTTTTGGTTTGGTTTTGGTTTTAACAACGGATCAACATCATGGCACACTGGTAGTAACCCATAAGTGCTCCATTCTTCTTCTAACTCAAGTCTGAGTAAAGAAGCTCGGCCCAATGCACATGCTCTGTACCAACTGCTAAGGGGGTTTTTTTTACGTGCGCGACAATGAACACGGGCGTCCGATCTCACTACCCATAGACCAAGGGGATTTACTAGAAGTCCAATTCCATGTGAAAAAAAATCCCAATCCTAACCGGGGATGGAACCCGGAACCTCTAGCACTCGAGGCGGAGACCATGCCTTGAGACCATGCAGCATTGAAAGGGAAAGGGAATTAAGGACATGAAACCAACAAAGAGAAACCCTCCGACAAACTTTGATGAGGCAGACCCAAACGTGCGGGACTGGATTCTATCCGTGATATCGAAAACGTTGCACAGGATAAAACAGAATTCGCAATGTTGGCTCCCCGGGGCCCAATAGATGGGGGGGGGGGGGGTCAACTTCTGCTATCAATTGTTTTGTAAGGGATGACTAATTAGGGGGGGGGGGGGTGTTTCCTGCGAAGACGGAGTGCATCTGCGTTAGAAACGAGGAACCAACAGTCTACACATAAGCCAGTATGTAAAACGGATGTGCATGCAAAACTCAGTATTGAACCAGATCAAAGTCCACAATTGGACGAACAACTGCAGCTTTCCGCCGAATGTCACAGCCGGTAAACTCTAAAAAGTAAGGCGGAGGAGAAGAAGATGGAGAAGAAGAAGAAAATGATGGTGACGAAGAAGAAGAAATACATCAATGATTCTCCCCCTCTCACTGGCCGGAAACAGCCTGTATGACCTGTCTAGTTAGCCTTAAACCTGATGTGCCAATTAGGACAACCAGACCACTTGTACCCAGAACGAGATACCACGGGAAATACTGCCTGTCAGCCTCACAGTCTTTGTCATAGAGAAGTGCTGTCACTGACCACTGTGAGGTATCCGAGAAGAGATCACATCAAAAACGAGGTTATAAGAGGATTTAAGAGTTGAACAACGGATCAACATTATGGCACACCTAGCTCTGTTTCTCTCCCCCACCTCTCTCTCTCTCTCTCTATGTCTCTCTCTCTCTCTCTCTCTCTCTCTCTCTCTCTCTCTCTCTCTCTCTCTCTGTCTCTCTCTCTCTCTCTCTCTTTTTCCCTCCCTCTTTTTCTCTATCCCCTATTTTTATTCCATATCCATTTTCTCTTTCTCCTGTTTACTTCTCAGCTCTGTTTTTCTCTCTCTCTCTCTCTCTCTCTCTCTCTCTCTCTCTCTCTCTCTCTCTCTCTCTCTCTCTCTCTCTCACTTTGTCCTACTCTCTCCCTCTTTCTCTATCTCCATTTAGTTTTGAATCCACGATCTTCAGATCTGCAGGCGAGTGTCTTACCTCCAACCGGCCTCTCCTCACCCCCCCCCCCCCCCCCCCTTAGAACACAGGACAAAGGCTTACGCACTTCACTACAAAGACCCTTAAGTCAGTCAGTCAGTCAAACAGCTCATGTCTGAGATCAGTCACCTAGTGACTCCTTTAATATTGTGAGGGCCCTTTGAGAGCGAGTAAACAGTGCCAAGGCACAAACAGATCATTACGGAGTGAGGAGAATGCCGCTGCCAGGAGTTACCAGGGGCTCTGGCCGATGCTTCACACTCAAGGGAAAGGCGAGACAAATATACAGTCAGACAGTCACTAGTACCATCGGAATTGGGACTCTTCACTTGCTACTGAAGATGGGGACAGAGCGCTTATGGGAGTGTCAAGAGTGCTTTGATGTCGATTCTTAATTCAACATTCAACATATTAATCCCTTGATAAACTTGTTCCTTTTGCTTCACTCCCCAGGCCAATTATCACCATTCTAGCTGAGGAGGTCAGGGTCCCAGAAAAGTGAGTAGTACCTCCAACAGGAATTGACTTTTTTTCCCCTGGATGTTTTCGGGGACAATGCTTCCAGAGTAAACTGAGCTTTTTGTGATCATTTTCTCCTGTTCTGGGTGTTTTGGGGAACAGCCATTCGAGAGTCTAATCAGCTCTTAAAAATAATCGGTAACATAAGATTTGATGATAGGACTTTGCCCCTGTACCTCCATTTTAGTTCACCTCATCTCAGGGAATCAGAAAATTCCAGGGAAAATCCAGTATTATTAGGTGGGGGAGGGGGGTGGGGGTGTTAAGTTTAGGGTTAGAGTTAGTCAGAGGTGATTTCACACTGTAACACCCTTATAATATTGGACTTTTCCTGGGAACGCTTGGACTCCTGAGATGGGGGGAACTAAAATTAAAGTACCCTGCCCCCTAAGATCTGGGACATATGATCACCTTACTTACACACCACTGTACATTTTCTCCAAATCCTCTTCATGTGACTGTTGACTCATAGATCATTCACAAAAATCAGCTTCATATTAGTTCCGGGGCAAAGAGCAATAACTGAGCTGACAGACTAGCAAGTGATGCTCACATGGGAAACAGACGAGCAGTGGACATGACTAATATATACTGAATGCCGTCAGAGGGGCAACTATTGAATGAATCAAGTAATGATTGTGAATCTGCAACACTGACGAGACTACATAAACAAAACATCAAAAGGAATGAAGCCAGACAAGAGCGCTACACAGGGGCCCAAATAAGAATAGTAAACCAGCATAGAACTGGTGTCATAAGCCACTACACGCTAAGGGAGATACTGAAGAGGGGATCTGAGCACTTATGGACTGAATGGTTTGATGTGTGATGATGATAGTCTGTCGACTAATTAACTAAATCATTCACAAGTGATCTCCATTGTTGCAGGTCTGCAGCTTGTCCGCCTATGGTATCCCATGTCATTTTCACATCTTTACTTTCTTCTTCTTCTTCTTCAGTATTCTGAGTTCTTAAGGTTTATTGCTGAAGATGTCACCCGCTTCCATTAATATTTCTGATTGGCCTTCTCTTTTCAGTTGGTGACACCAACTTTTTGTACACAAATTATTTTCCACATTCAAATGTCAAATAATGTATTCTGTAATTCATAAAACACATTCATGTGGGAAATGCCCAGTGTATAGTGGCATTGATTGTGTAACATAACATTTAACTTTCAGAAACATTCCCAAGGGCCTGGCTGTCAGCTTTGTTCTGCTGATTGTGGCAATGGTAGCCACCAACTTTGCCTACTACACAGTCCTAACCAAAGAAGAGGCCTTAAAGTCTGATGCAATTGCTATGGTACTGTCAGTGTCTTTGTGTATTTTTAACTTCTTCTGCTTCTTCTTCTTTCCTCTACTCCTAGAATGCCTTGTGGCATCAGGGCGGGACGAGATCTCTGGAGCAGGCCCTTCTGTTCGTTTGTATAAAAACTTTTCAATGTCTCTGATATTTCTGCGGTCCAGTTTCTGCATGGTCTAACTCTGGCTCTGTTACCACTATATCTGTATAACATTGCTCTCTGTGGTGCCCTGTCTGATGCCAATCTTGTTACATGGCTAAACCATCTGATTTGTTGTCTACCTATAAAATTCAGTATTGGTTCTGTATCAACTCTGCTCCCGATATCATCGTTCCTAAGTTGATCTTTCCTCGTTACACCTATTGTAGTATGTAAACATTTCATTTCTGTCATGACTATTTTCCTTCTGTCTTCTGAAGACAGTGTCCATGTTTGACATTAATAACATAGCATTGGTAAGAATATTGTGTTGAACAGTGTTAACTAACTGTTGTATTATTTCCTCATCCTTAATTGTTGTGCCAGGCCCCAAGGGCCCCCCCCCCTCCCCAAAGGGATACCCACTGCCCCATAAAAAGCTTATCATAAGAAGAGCTTCAGTAGGGATTTGCTGACATTGGACGAATTGGACTGAAAGGTGTAAATATCATAGCCTAGCTGTAAATGATAACACAATGTGCCCATAAGGGCAAACACAGAAGAAGAAGTCTGCATTACTTCTACTGTATCTGTTTTGCTGCTTTCTCAATTGACTTGTTTATCTTTCTGTCCGTCATCAGATTTTCACAACACAATGTTCTGACTCATTTTAACCCTCACTGAATCAGCGAACACTGTTTACTGCACCCCCTTAGTGACCAAGCAGATTCATTGAGAGAAAGAAGATGAAATGGTTTGGTCATTTAGTAAGAATGCAGCCAGAACAAGGCCCAAAACAGGTGCTGCACATGAAGAGTTCTGATATAAAAGCAAGGTGCTGCACTAGGAAAAGATGGATTTATAACATTAAAGAGCTTCTACGTCGACATGGAATGATAAGAGCCATTGTTACCTATCAAGCAGTGGATTGTAAACTGTTCCTCCCCACAACACTTAATGGCAGAAGTGGAAATTAATGATGATGATGAATGTTCTGACACCAGTAGTGTTCTCTGTTGCAGCTGTTTGGTGCAAGGATTCACCCGGTGCTTCCTGTTGTCCTGGCCATCCTTGTGTGTCTGTGTGCTATTGGGACTCTCAATGTGGCAATTATGGGTCAGCCGAGGTCAGTACACAGTCATTTAGTTACCTTTGTCCTTATTTCATTGATTTCTCGGTCTAAATTATTTAATTACATTTGTTCTCACTTCTGTGATTGGTCAGACCAGATTGTTTGGTTACATATATCCTCACTTCACTGATTGGTCAGATTAGATCATTTGGTTACATATGTTCTCACTTCACTGATTGGTCAGATTAGATCATTTGGTTACATATGTTCTCACTTCACTGGTTGGTCAGATTAGATCATTTGGTTACATATGTTCTCACTTCACTTTTCACTTCACTGGTCAGATTAGATCATTTGGTTACATCATTCACTGTTCTTAGATCATTTGGTTACATATGTTCTCACTTCACTGGTTGGTCAGATTAGATCATTTGGTTACATATGTTTTCACTTCACTGATTGGTCAGATTAGATCATTTGGTTACATATGTTCTCACTTCACTGATTGGTCAGAATAGTTCATTTGGTTACATATGTTCTGACTTCACTGATTGGACAGATTAGATTATTTGGTTACATATGTTCTGACTTCACTGGTTGGTCAGATTAGATCATTTGGTTACATATGTTTTGACTTCACTGGTTGGTAAGATTAGATCATTTGGTTACATATGTTCTCACTTCACTGAGTGGTCAGATTAGATCATTTGGTTACATATGTTCTCACCTGATTGGTCAGATTAGATCATTTGGTTACTTATGTTCTGACTTCACTGGTTAGTCAGATTAGATCATTTGGTTACACATGTTCTCACTTCACTGATTGGTCAGACAAGAACAGTTTGTTTCATCTGTTCACTGACTGATCAGACAAGAATGTTTGGCTACATCTGTCCTCTCTTCACCGACTAGTCAGACGCACAAACAAGAACATTTGTTTATTTCTGCCTTCACTTCACTGACTGGTCAGACTAGATAATTTAGTTGCATCTGTCCTGTTCTCACTTCATTGATTGGTCGACTAGGTCATTCGGTTACATGTGTTCTCACTTCACTGATGACAAGGCAGGCCAAGAGGTTATACCTCTACCACTGGTATATCCAGCTTATGATGCAAGCCTCAGATTTCTATAGACCAGTCAGTACTCTACAGCTGATGTGATCAACGTCATGCAGTTGCTTTTATTTCCTAAGGTGTTTCCTTGTACCAATTTTAGGCTAGGTCGACCTAGATGACACTTTTTTTTTTTTATTCACCTGTTTCTTAATTGAACCCACAGTTGCCACAGCTCCTTGAAATTAATTGGACATCCTGTGTATAAGAAAACCAGAACAGTACAATAGAAAGCCAAAACAGTACAGACAATCAGACATGAACTAAACCAAAACAGTACAATAGAAAGCCAAAACAGGACTACAGACAATCAGACATGAACTACACCAGAACAATACAATAGAAAGCCGAAACAGTACAGACAATCAGACATGAACTAAACCAAAACAGTAAATAGAAAGTTAAAACAGTACAGACAATCAGACATTAACTAAACCAGAACAGTACAATAGAAAGTTAAAACAGTACAGACAATCAGACATGAACTAAACCAGAACAATACAATAGAAAGTTAAAACAGTACAGACAATCAGACATGAACTAAACCAGAACAGTACAATAGAAAGCTAAAACAGTATAGACAATCATACATGAACTAAACCAGAACAGTACAATAGAAAGCCGAAACAGTACATACAATCATACATGAACTAAACCAGAACAGTACAATAGAAAGTTAAAACAGTACAAACAATCAGACATGAACTAAAATGATGTCTAATTTCAGGATGATTTTTGCTGCTGGCAGGAATGGGCACATGCCTAAAATGATGACTATGTTGCACAAGAAGTTCAATACACCGTGGCCGGCTACTGTTTCACTGGTATGTATCCTCATCGTGTTTGTATTCACCTGCTCCTCCTCTTCTTCTTCTTTTTCCTCCTCATCCTCTTCCTCTTTTGCCTTCTCTATAATAATTAATGTTCTTTGCTTCTTTCTTCATTTTTCTTCTTTCTTTATCTCCTGCTCCTCTTCGTATTCCTTTCTTGTTCCTCCTCTCTTTATTGTCCTCCTTCTTCTCCCTTTTCTTCTTCCTCTTCTCCTCATCCTCCGCCTCTTCCTGCTCCTCCTCCTCCTCCTTCTTCTTCTTCTGCTTCTTCTTCTTCTCCTCCTTCTTCTTCTTCTTCTTCCTCTTTAAGTTTACTGGCTGTAAACTCCAGCAGAAAGTTAGGATTGTTCATCCACTTCTGGACTTTAGTCTTGTTCCAGAACTTGAGTTTTGCATGCACATCTGTTTTACAGATCTAGCTTATTGGTATGTAGACCGTTGGTTTCCCTGCTTCACAAGGGGCAATGGCTCTATTCCCCTCACTGTTGGGGCCCAGGAACCCTTATAGCCATTTTATCCTATGTCAGATTGTAAGCTAAAGTCACTTTTGGAGAAAATCAAAATGTGGACTTGAACCAGCAACCTTCAGTGTGGTGAGCAGCTAACTGTTACATCGACATGGCACTCTGTGTTTGTCTGTTTGCCTGAATATGCCTGTGTACACCTAAATTTGCTTTTACTCACTCCTGCAAATAATCATCATCTTCATCACCATCATCATCATCGTCATCATGTATCAGGTCCTTTGCAGAAAGTTGCTCTCATCATAGTCTGCCTGAAAGAAACTTGGTCTCTGGCCAGGGGTCCCGCCTCATGCACTTTCATATCCAAGGAGTCACTTATATCTTGTGTCCATCTTCATGCTGGTCGACCCCTTGTTCCCTCTTTTCTGGTACCTTGTCTTCTGTTATTATTTTTTCCACTGAGCCTTGATGCTTGATATGGCCAAACTATTTCAGCTTTTAAGACAACATTTAATTTACTATTTAATCTTCCTTGATGTTCAGATCTTTTGGTCAGTATTTCTTCTCTTCTTTGCCCATGGTATTCTGAGAATCTTTCTATAGCATTTCAGCTCAAAAGGTCAATTTTTTCCTTAAAGAATGTGAGATATCCATGACTCAACCCAGTTTGGATGAGGCATTCTCTCAATATTTTGACTTTGTTTTCCTTATCGGTACTTTACCATAGACTTTTGATGCTGTTTAGTCTTAGTATTGCTTAATCATTGTAACAAACATAAATGAATTCTCTGTTTAGTTCCAGTTGCTATGTTTAAATGATACCACAACATCGAGCTTAAAAATAGAGCTGGAGGCTGTCATTGCAGCTTTGCGCTGGGTAGAGAACAACACATCCTGATTGCAACTGACTCAGAAAGCATGCTGAGGAAGGTGAGGACAGGCATGCTTCACTTCGGAGGTCATGGGTGAGGAGTTTTGTCTGGATCTTTTCTCTTTGGCATGTTCATGTGTTGGGAAATGAACACATGGACAGACTGGCTGATTCTGCACAACTTCATTGAATTTTGCTGCATGATAAGGCATTACCTCTGTTTGAGATGAGCTGACTAATGCCATTCTTTTCAGGGTTGCCTTGCAATGGTGATGCTGGCAACAGGTAGTGTTATGTCCTTGATGGCTGCTGCTAGTCTGTATGCAGGTAAGTCATTCGTTATATGAGTTATTAATTAAGAACTGACATCATACAACTTGGGACATTCCCCTAAACACTCTGTCCCCATCTTCAACATCAGGCGCAGAGTTCCAGTTCCGATGGTGCCACAGTTCACTATGTGGGTTCCAGGTGCCCATTGTGGGGGGAAACAAGAATAGACCCACTGCCTCCCTAACAAGCATGTCGTGGGAGTTGACTAACTGGGGACTTCCTTAAAAGTCTGAGTGCATCTGCTGGAGCGGCAAGGAACAACAGCCACTTACACAAATCAGTGAAATAGATATACAAGCACAACTCAGGCCCTGGCACCAAGCCAAAGTCCAAGTGGATGAACAACCAGGACGTTTTGCTAGAGCTCACAAAGAAGAAGGTACCACAATCATTCTTCTTCTTCTTCTTCTTTGTTCACAAGCTGTTCGCTGCTGCGAGACCTCCTGGTTGTTCATCCACTTGGACTTTGGCTTTGTACCAGGGCCTGAGTTGTGTGTGTACATCCATTTGACTGATTTGTGTGCAGCTGGTTATCCCTTATTGCTCTGGCAGATGCACTCCAACTTCAAAGGCAGTCCCATTTTTCAGCCTTCTACGAATTGCTTGTTGTAGAGGAAGTGAGTCTTTTTTTTTTTCACAGTGGGGTCCCAGAGCCCACTTGGGTAGTAACACAGTCATTCATGAATAGAGAAGTAAGCTGGAAGTGACAGATATTTGAGAATACTGTAATATTCCTACAGCTTTCATGCTTAGTTTACTTGGCATTAAGTGGCAGGACAAGATCAGTCACTGAGGTAGTGGGAATAGGGAGTTCTTCTTCTCAATGTTCAGTCTTTGAAAGCTTAGTTAGCATGGACATGCATGGAGGATGGTAGAGCACCTAAGCATCTCCTCTTTGGTGACTTACAGATGGGTAGTGTCTCTCCTCCTCCTTCTTCTTCTTCACGTTCACCAGCTGTAAACTCTGGTTTTTTGTCCACTTCTGGACTGCAGTCCTGTTCCAGAACCTGAGTGTTGCATGCACATCCATTTTACAGACCAGACTTATTTGTATGCAGACTGTTGGTTCCTTGCCTCTCAGGCAGATTCACTCCGACTTCAAGGGAAGCTCCCAATTAGTCGACTCTTACGACATGCCTTTGGGTAGGCAGTGAGTCTATTTTTGTTTTCCCTATAATAGGGTCCCGGAACCCACACGGAAAAGTGTCTCTACTGATGTATCTTCAAAAAATGTTTCAGTTTGTATAAGCTTTTTTTATGTTTGACATTGTTTTTACCTGTTGATGTTTCTTTGCAGGTTTCATGATTGTTCTGCTGTTGTTGTGTTTGTTCACACTCCGTTGGAAACAGCCTGACAAGCCTCGACCCTTGAAGGTTTGAGGTTCTGTTGCTTGCATTTTAATATAATCTCTATCATTTATAGAAAATATTTAGAAGATATATCAACTCAGATCCGCAAATTCATTTACTTTGAATTACTTACTTTACTTACTTTGTTTAACTTAATGATTTTGTTTCCCCCAAATTTACTTTGCTTATTTGACTTCATTGACTTTGCTTTACTTACTTTACTTCACTTATTTTACTTCATTTGCTTATTTTACATACCTAACTTATTTTACTTATTGACTTTATTTTAATTTACTTATTTTACTTCATTTGCTTATTTTACTTTACTTTAGTTTTTTACCTCATTGACTTTGCTTTACTTACTTTATTTACTTATTTTATTTTATTTACTTTATTTACTTATTTTGCTTTATTGCTTTTTTTAAACTTACTTCACTTATTTTGCTTTATTGACTTTATTTTACTTACTTTACTTCACTTATTTTACTTCATTTGTTTTTTAACTTACTTTACTTATGTTACTTCATTTACTTTGCTTTGCTTGCTTTACTTTAAACAGGAAAAATATATTGTGAGCCCTTTTTGATATATAAATAATGCAGCATGATGATGATATATTTCCTGCCAGCCACACAGAATAATGAAGATGTGTTTGATTGTTTGATTGATATCTCAGGTTCCCTTGGTGATCCCCGTATGTGGGACACTGCTGACTGCCACCCTGGTTGTCCTGTCTGTGATTGAGAAGCACCGAGAGCTCGGCCTTGTGATCTTCATTGTGCTGCTCGGTGTACCCGTCTATTATATCTGTGTCCATTTGCAGAAGCCAGCTAAACTCTTCAGATGCATTGGTGAGTTGATTCAATTCATTTCAGGCGAAGGGGCTGCGTTTTCTCGAGGTATGGTGTCCGCCTCAAGTGCTAGAGGTTCTGGGTTTAATCCTTTTTTTTTTTATGGTGGACTTGGACTCCTAGTATTTCCCCTGGTCTCTGGACAGTGAGATTGGACGCACGTGTGCATTGTGGCGCATGTAAAAAATCCCTTGGCAGTTGGAAATTGAAAAACAATAGTCTAACAGCGCTGCACGGGCAAAATCTGGAGTTAAAAATCTACCCCAAATATTTCAGGATCCTCGCCGGTGCTACAGACAGAGCCTGTGCACTGTGCTGAGCTTCTTCAGACTCAGACTTGAGTTAGAAGAAGAACAGAGCACTTATGGGTTACTACCCGTGTGACATGATGTTGTTCCATTGTTCAAACCTCAAACTTCATTTCAGGCTTAGTCTTAGACAAGGTTTCAACTTCACTGGAATTGAGTCACCCCATGCTTGCACCGATGCTGTGCCAGTGAAAATCCCCTCACTGTCCCATTGGAAAAAAAGTGGTGAACAAACAATTAGTCCTGGCACAATCCAGAAATATGTGCATGCAGTAAATGCATTTTGCAGTTGCTAGAGGTGCCAAAGCCAACAGTCACTACCAGAAATGCAGTTTATCGTTGATGGTCAATCATTTGCATGCATGCATGCATAAGTGTGTGGGTTTTTTTTTTTTTACCAGTGAAGATAACAGTGTGTAATTCCCTCTACCACATGTATGTAAGGCTTTTTCTCTCTATCACATATGTCTTTTTACTTGTCAAGCATAATTCTGTTTAACCCACCAGGAGACTAAGATATTAATAACAACTTGTATCCATGAAAGGTGGCTGGATAACCACATCAAATTTTCGGCACTACTTTGAACAGCGACCGAAGGGACGCAGTCTATTGTTTGTTTGCGACGACTGTAAGGGACACAATCCATTTATTGTGTACATAGTATTGTTGTAACATTTTAAAGTGGCTTCAGATTAGGGTTTGTATTGTCTCCCTAAGACTCAGGTCATCACCTTTCAAGAGTTTAATGTTTTATCATATTCAGACTAAGGACAGGGCACAACAGACTTTGCCTACATGTGTTCAAGTTTTTCACTGTAGCAAACGCTGAGGTGTGTTCCTGGAAACTTGGTACCTGAAAATGCTGAGCATGTGCTCCAACACTTTAAACTATATGCTGCTAACAGAAAGACCATTTGGCCTGTTCAGACCTCAGATAAAACATAAGCTGTATGATACTTGAGGAGATTTGAACTGCACAGCAACTTTCGTCAAAGCTACAGAACTCCTGATATAAGGTTTTCTGACAGAATGATCAAAGATGATCTCTATCACAGATATATTTGGTTTTACATGCAAGTCTGTTTTCTCTATTACAGATATATTTGGTTTTTACATGCAAGTCTGTTTTCTCTATTACAGATATATTTGGTTTCTACGTGCAAGTCTCTTTTCTCTATCACAGATATATTTGGTTTCTACGTGCAAGTCTCTTTTCTCTATCACAGATATATTTGGTTTTTTATGAAAGTCTGTTTTCTCTATTACAGACATATTTGGTTTCTACATGCAAGTCTGTTTCAACCTGGGCTATGAAGAGAAGACAGAGTGATCAGCATCTCTTCCCTGTGGCTGGTCTACCACACATTGTATCTTCCACCTGCGGTTGGTCTAGTGGAGGTACCACACATCATCTCTTCCACCTGCGGTTGGTCTAGTGGAGGTACCACACATCATCTCTTCCACCTGCGGCTGGTCTAGTGGAGGTTCCACACATCATCTTTTCAACCTGTGGCTGGTCTAGTGAAGGTACCATACATCATCTCATCAACCTGTGTTTGGTCTAGTGGAGGTACTACACAACATCTCTCCAACCTGCAGCTGCTCTAGTGAATGTTCCACACATCATCTCTTCTACCTGCAGCTGTTCTAGTGAAGGTTCCACACATCATCTCTTCAACCTGTGGCTGGTCTAGTGGAGGTACCACACATCATCTCTTCTACCTGCTGCTGGTCTAGTAAAGGTTCCACACATCATCTCTTCTACCTGCTGCTAGTCTAGTGGAAGTACCACACATCATCTCTTCAACCTGTGGCTGGTCTAGTGAAGGTTCCATACATCATCTCTTCCACCTGCGGCTGGTCTAGTGAAAGTTCCATACATCATCTCTCCCTCCTGCGGCTGGTCTAGTGAAGGTTCCACACATCATCTCTCCCACCTGCGGCTGGTCTAGTGAGGGTGCCACACATCATCTCTTCAACATGTAACACATGCAGTCACAGGTCCTGACACATGGGTGTACTTGTTTAAGTGTGCATCACCTCCTTGTTTAAACCACTCAACGATATTTTGCCCATTACTGTAAGGTTTCATCTTTTTTTAGACTGTTTCTTGCATTGTCTCATAGTTTAGCATACTCCAACCTTGTCAAACCAGTTTTGTCATTATTTGTTGTACTCAAACACTGTTTAATACATTCCCTCATTGTTTAACCCCCTCTTACCTTGTCAAACTAGTTTTGTCATGGTTTAGCTTACTCAAACACTGTTTATCGCTTTCCATCATGATTTAACTCACTCTAACCTTGTTAGGTCAGTTTTATCATGATTTAGCTTACTCAACCACAGTTTAATGCATTCCTTCATAGTTTACCCTACTCTAACTTAGTCAAACCAGTTTTATCATGATTTAGCTTACTCAACCACAGTTTAATGCATTCCTTCATAGTTTACCCTACTCTAACTTAGTCAAACCAGTTTTATCATGATTTAGCTTACTCAAACACTGTTTATTGCTTTCCTTCAGAGTTTAATCCACTATAACATTGTTATACCAATTTCATCATGATTTAACTTAAACATTTTATCTTGCATTCCCTCATAGTTTAACATACTACAACCTTGATAAACTAATTTCATTATGATTTAACTTATTGAAACACTGTTTATTCCCTTCCCCCCCCCCCCCCTTTGGTTAAACATACTTTAACACTGCCTAATCCATTGCCTTGTGGTTCAACGTATTCCCTCATTGTAAAGCACACACTTACCCTGTTTAAACCATTCCAACATGGTCAGAATGATTCATATGTGGAAAAAATAATGTTCATCATTAATTTAATTTTACACTTGAGGTAGGCAGTAGTCAGCATCTGATGTAGGCCTTGTGAACGCAGTTCGTAATGCCAAGTTACCTCATGTAATTCCAGCTGTGGGCGAATTGGCAGCAAACCGCCTTGCATTGATTTTGACAGTGGTATTGAGAACCTACTGTTCAGAAGGCAGTGGCAATCTAGTGATTGTAAAATGTATAGTAAAATCACCAACAGCCAGAAAAAAGCTGACGTTGGTTCTGCAACTTCTCGTAAAGCAGGGCTGTTCAACTAAGTTTACTCAGGGGCCAACATTTTTTAAATGGGTGTCGTGACGGGCCAGAAGCCTGAGCTCTAGAGCATAGAAAGATCATAAAAACAATACAACTAGCAGTGATCCGCGGGCCACTTGCTAGGCTTCTGCAGGCCAGATTTGGCCCGTAGGCCACTAGTTGAATAGCCCTGATGTCAAGGATATGCTGCTAATTTTGTATATATAATAAGGGCGTTACAGTCAAAATAAATTAATACTTTAATTGTCACATTTGGTTCACAGTAATATTTACTTAAGTCTTTCGGCACCAGACAGATGTTACTCTGTTTTGTTCTATTCCATCTCTTTACTTTAAGTAATCACTTTATTTTGTTCTATTCCATGACTTTACTTTAAGCAATCACTTTATTTTGTTCTATTCCATGACTTTACTTTAAGTAATCACTTTATTTTGTTCTATTCCATGACTTTACTTTAAGTAATCACTTTATTTTGTTCTATTCCATGACTTTACTTTAAGCAATCACTTTATCTTGTTCATTCCATGACGTTACTTTAAGTAATTACTTTATTTTCTTCTGTTCCCTGACACTAAAGTAATCATTTTATTTTGTTCTATTCCATGACGTTACTTTAAGTAATCACTTTATCTCATTCATTTCATGATGTTACTTTGAGTAGACACTTTATTTTGTTCTATTTCCTGATGCTACTCTAAGTAATCAATTTATTTTGTTCTATTCCATTACGTTACTTGAGTAAACACTTCATTTTGTTCTATTCCATGACGATACTTTAAGTAATCACTTTATTTTGTTCTACTCCTTGACGCTACTTTAAGTGATCACTTAATTTTGTTCTGTTTCATGATTTTACTTTCACAAATCTTCTTCTTCTTTTGTGTTGGACTTGAAATGTCAGTTGGACAAATATTCAGTTTTAGCAAAGCCTTCATTAATTGCCTTTTATGACATACTTGTTTAATGGGCAATTTATACCATTTTTGTCTGTTCATAGAATGCCCTAATATATAAGGCTACCCCTTCATTTTTGTAAGCCTCAAATTAAGAAATACAAATTGAAGCATAACCCATTTGTAAGTAAGGGAGTCACCATGGCGTTGTCGGCTAGACGCCCACCTGAGGATTGTAAGGTCGGGAATTCGCGCCCTGACAGAGCCGGGCTTTTTTTTTTCAGAAATGACCTTAACTCCCAGCCTCTAGTGGGTACCAGGTGCAGTCCTGGGAAGTAAAGGCAGTCGGCGTGATGCTGACTTTATCACCCATCAAGTGCCAATTTGTTTATAAAAATACAGGTCTAGCCCTATATTCCCAGTACACCTAAAGGCGTGGAAAAGGGACCTTAATGTGTGAGTGAAGGACCCTTTTCCACGCCTTCAGTGTGCAGATAGGACTAGACCTGTGTTGTATAGACCAATCAGCACTTGGTGGGTGATGTGGTCAGCATCATGCCGGCTGCCTTTACTTCCCAGGACTTTACCTGCTGCCTATTTAAGACTGGCACGACCTGGGAGCCAAGGTCATTTCTAAAAAAAAAAAATAATACGGCTCTGTCAGGACCTATACCCATGACCTTCAAATTCACAG